TTTTGTAACTTCGAGGGCCCGTTACTTGGTAACGAAGGATTTTAGGAAAAAAAGTTATATGAAGTACTGGTGATATTTTGACCCCATCTATACATTCCCGAGAGGAAAAGAGGAAGTCCAGGGACACCCTGTATATTGAAAATATTTCGAGCCTTTCTTATTCTTCTCATATTTTTCCGATCTCAAGAAAACACAAAGTAAAATTAAATATGCCACTTGATTTTGCTTTCGTTCCATTATACCGTCGTACTTTTGCAATTTTTCTAATTATTTCTAACATGTATGCATACTTGGAAACAAAAAAATTTGCATTATCTAAAAGGCATATTTTTATGAAGGACTCAATCCTCTTACTGTTTTTTTGTATATAACCTTCCACAATCTGAATTTATTTGAGCCTATGGAGACACCCTACATTTTGTTTTATGAACGAGAGGACATTGGCAAATCAAGATCTTCAGATGATGTGGTGCTGCAAGTTTTTCCGGGTTTTCTTGCAGCTGAAAAAGAAATGCGCCACTGGAATTAATGAAGTCGCCCCGGGGCGCCACTTAATTTTTGTTGTTGTTTTATAATTTCATGATTTGTATTCAAGATATGTGAAAATGTGTTTTTATAAAAATATTAAATCTGAAAAATGAGCTGAATCAATAAAGAATCTGCTGAAGTGTAATGAGTTATAAAGAAAGTTACATGGTAAAAATACGATTCAGTAACAATTAATTTCAAAACTCCGGTATATGGTATACCTAACGGAAAATTAGAAAATTTGACATTTTTCCCCAAATACCTAAAATATGCGTCACTGTCAAACTATCGAAAATTTACTAAAATCCGATACAAAAATGGGATTTCAGGGCCATTTCTTCCTGATGTACAACCATCCAAAAATAGGTCATTTGCTCTAGGATATCAATCACTATAAAATATTATTTTCATTTTCAAATTTGATTGTTGTTTGAATTCGTATTTTATCGTGAAAAGTTGAAAACAGTGTTCGTTGTTAGAGTGGCCACCTCACATCGAGTCCTGTGTCTTCATAAGTTGAAGTGCAGTTCACAAATAGCAGGATGTCCGGGAAGTCTTCCTGGCAAATGACAAGAAGAGATGCCGCTCCATTGACATGGCATTGACACCAAAATGACACTGGCTGTGGAACGCACCTGGTATTGATGAGTATTTCAGCAACATCTTACTTTCATTTTCTAGAACCTGGATAACGAAAAACTCAGGTGTCAACCTTATACTCTCATACTACTTCAGACAGGATAACTGCTGATAACAGTTTGTTCATACAGGTGATGAGTGGCTGCTACACCAAGTCAACCATATTCAAACTAGGAAAGTCGGAACACCTTGATGAAGAACCCCAACTTTAACTAAGGACATTCAGAGAGTGAGGCGGGACTATCTGGAAGAGATTAGAACGTGTACCTACAGGAATTTCAGTTCAAAACCACTCAATACTTATCGTACTCCCTCCAACTTCAGAAGTAACATTCTACCACTTGGTATACTTGTACTGCAATGGCCTCCAACCTGTCACCACCTCCCACCAAAAGTTCAAAAGATGCTCGTGTCGATTGGTGCAAACAAATACTCAATTAATATAATAGCGGAAAGTAAAAATAGTAGTCAACTGTTTCAGTATTTCAAGATGTGGAACATTCAAACATTGGATTGTTGGGTCATCCGCCGTACAGTACTGATATGTCATCCAATGACTACTGTGCGTTTCCATAAGTCAGAATAAATTGCGTAGACAATGATTTTCGTCTTCAGAAAAAGCTGTTGATGTTTTCAAATTGCATATTTTCGAGATATATTAAGCAGAGTAAAAGATAGGTTCTGATAAATAGTTCGAACGCATGCCAAACTGTCTAGATAATGAAAAAGATAATATCAATTAATATTTTCTTCAAACCGAAAGAATAATGGAATATTCAAAGGCGAGGCAACCAAAATACAGCAAATACAGCGGTAAAACGCTTTTTCTGGAAAACTCTTGACACAACCTTTATATACTATGTGTAACACTTCAGTGGCTACAAGAGATTATCTCTGTTCGGTTCAAAACGAATGTGAGTCCGATTCTGGATAAACAAGTAAAAATATATTTGTTAGTCGCTGAATTCATTCAAAACAATAGTTGTCAAGTATTTCCAAAATTTGTGTTTTCCAAAATAATTGGTGTTCATAAAAGCGATAGGCTTCGTGGACCTAATAAACAACTGACTCAACTCCAGTGTTAATGATAATCAGATTTGTTATTCGAAAATTCCAAATGTTGCGGATATGACTCTTGAATGATACATCGATTGCGGTTATCATTCAGTTAGGTGTGTGATAAGTTTCCTATTCAGTTTGATTTTGTCAGCAGTAGTCGCCAAGCGTTAAACGTGATTCATTGAAAACAGCTATGAAGAATTTGGCAAGTGTTTGTAGAGAAGAACAAATAAGTTTCATCAAATCATTCAATCATGTTCTCACAGACATGGATGGTAAGTAATGCTGAAAATTATTAGTCATCTGTTCAGAGTTGCCAAATGAATACTGATCAAACTGTTGAGTTTTTTATTTGTAATGAACTGAAGTCATTGAACAAGTTAATTTGAGTTGAAAAAAGATATGAAAAAAACAAGACGATTCATGCAAATAATCACAATTTCAAAAATAAAATCAAAATGAGAAAAAACAGAAAAAACAATCTAAGGTGCCCTATTATTGGTTCAACAAAAGTTGCGAACAAGTTGTCACATTGAAAAAATTTTGAGTATCAACAATGGGACAAAAACTCCAGAATGAAAAGAGAAAACTGCCAATTTAGGAATTACGAATAAACTTTTTGCGAGTGAAATGTCAAACAATTGAAAACAATTGAACTGTGAATAATAAAGTAAAATAGAATAATTAAGATAAATGATCTGGCTAAATGCGCCGTACGGAAACAATAGCCAAGATAACCTAGCGAAAGAGAGAAGATAAATGATAAAAAACATCAGAAAGAAATAAAATAGGAAAAAAATCAAACCAAATTACTTTTCAGTTTTTGAGTATTAACAATCGTCTTCGGGTAATAACTGGACTACTTCTGATAATCGAAACTATTTATAGGTCATTTGGACGCTCTTACCTTTCCCCGAGCACTCTTCTCCCGCTTGGAAAGAGGTTTCGTTCGTTGACATCTATGTAGCTTCTCTGAATTTATTCTTGAACCAGAGTTCTTCCTTGTGGACGATCATAGTTTCAGACCAGTCGTTATATTGATAAGCAATACAAGATTCGCCAATCTCCCAGAGAACTATAAGATCCCTTCCCAGCTGATTGTCATATTGTTTGTCTGCTGTACCAGTGCCTTTCTGTTCTTTGTTGCTGTAGCGAAGGTCTCCGTTGTACAGCCGTATTTTATTCAAGTGTCCTTTCAGTGGACAGAGTGTCACTTCCGTATATAGTTCCGTATCAAAGATTGTAGTAGTCCCATAGCTGGTTCTGGCCCTCAATGAAGAGTTGTCTGGAAAACTCATCAGCATTTTTGTGATACCTGAGCGTCTTTGTACCCAGTTCAGAATCAATATATTTCTGTCTTTTCTCAATTCTTCATGTTCTTAATCCCAGAACAGTGTCGATGTCACTTTTTGGTTTATCAGTGCCTCAATTGCAGCTGGAGCTGGTATCTGATATGAATATTTTTCTCACACAGTAAGTTCCAGCTCCCGTCCAATGTTCAGTTTTGAATCGTCTTATAACCAGTTGTTTCTGCCGAGCATTGCCTCGGAATGAGTTTTCGTTTTCCACACTTTACGTTCTATAACATGTTTGACGTTTATTTCTCCATATATTCCCAAATTTCCGTTTTGCCCGATCCCACGTGAATCCCAATCTAAAAAAACCCACCCTTGCTTCTTCCATTCAAGAATTGGACGAGTTTTCACTATCCCTGTTAATCCCAGAAGTCTGTTTCATCTTTGGCCATAACGCCACAGATGTATAATATGTTATCATAGGTATAATCATCTTTGTTTTCACTTTTTGTAGATGTTGCTTTCAACTAAGCCTGAGATATTTGGGACATTTGGCCTTCCACGATAGATGTATCTATTCATCTCGAAGGTTAAGAGGTCCTAAGCTAAGTCTCGTGTTATCATTGGGCTCAGGTTCAGCCGTTCTTGTTTTATTATAAGTGATATATGGAATATGATAAAAAAAAAGCTGGCAATCAACACATTTTCCAAAGTTAGTAATGATTCAACAGCTCAAGCGATCGTCAGTATGGGTTCCAGAAGAGAAGATCAACAGATGCCCTTCTCATATATGTCACATACAGTGTTTCAACTGATAATATTTACAAAACATTTTCGTTCGTTCGTTAAGGAAATCTAAATTGTTTCATCCTAAGGAAGTATCAATCTGCCCTTTGAAATGTCACGTGACATAACCTAAAAAATGAGCTTTATTGCCATATGCTTTATTGCCATGAATTAATAAGATATTTTCTAAGAAAGGCTTTCGCGAATATTAAAAAAAATCATAGCAATAATGTCGGTAATTCTGTCAAATACAGATCCCGAGCTTGAGAGTTACAAACATATACATACATACGGGTGAAGCTAATATAGAGCGTGTTAAAAAAAACTGAAACATTATGCTTCGCGAAATATTACTCTATTTGTAATTTAAAATAGTTTGTATCATACTTTATAGGAACTTTCAAAAAAGTGATACTATTTTGGTTATTAATTATAGCGTTCTTCAACACATAAAATAAAAACAAAAATATTAGAACTGCAATATTATGTTTCACGAAACATTATTTCATTTGTAAAATAAAATAGTTTGTATTATACTTTATAGGAACTTAAAAAACGTGACACTATTTTGGTTATTAATTACAGCATTCTTCAAAATATAAAATAAATACACAAATATTTGCATTCATTCATTTTGTTTGAATTCATTGATAATTCAAATTGAGTGATTCAGCTGATGATTCAATTGTTTAATTATTTTTTAGGTGTCATTTGGACAGCATATAGGCCACTTCCAGGTGCCATTGACTGTATAAATTCACTCAAACTCCTAAAGAAAAAAGTCAGCTACGTCACGAATAATGGTACCACTGGTGAGAAAAGTCTATCTCGAAAATCGAAAAGTCTTGGCTTGCAAATAGAAGCTGACGAAATAGCAAATCCTATTCTACCCGCAATTTCTTATTTGAAAAAGTTGAATTTTCAATCAGAAATTTTCGCAGTGGGAACACAGGATTTCAAAGATGAACTTTGGGCTTCAGGTTTCAAGTTAACTGCTGATCTTGTAAGTATTTGTAGAGCTAGATTTGGCATGGCATGAAGATGAGGTAGGTCCAAATTGAGTAGGTCTATTTGATACAACAGTGCAATCTGCGAGGGTTTATTGTGGGTCAAACCGATTCAAATTCGACCAGAAAAATCTAGCTTCCCAACGTGAGCTTCATTTGGTGAGTTATCTTTAGAGTTTGCCGGCAAGATCTGCTAAACCTGTTTGTTTGCGGTGAGGCAAATACAAAGTATGTGTCCTGCTATCAGGACCTGAAATTTCTTCGTGAAGAATAATCGACTCTGAGGTTGATAGGACATGGTACATTTTTAGTAGTCTGCGACTACTGTCGTTAGGTAGTTGGGCAACACAAATGTACAACTTGTGAATCAGGTCTCTCAGGTGAATTGTAACCATCAAGGCCAGATTGTATAACTCAAGAATCGTATCGGAATGTCTTCTGGAATATCCTCTATGGTAACCATGATGGCTATAGAGATCCCAGCTGATTGATCGATATTGAAGTTTTGAAGATGCAAGATTCCCATCTTTTTGCAACATTCCCATATGAAGGCATCTATAAGTCAGCCAAAAATTTATTTCGAAATGGATTTATAAGATATCATAAATTTGAGAAGGCAAAAAGTCACTTTCAGGCTGTACCTAGGTTTGTACATAGGTTCCGAAATTGGAGAACTAAGAGGCGTTTGCTCTTGATCCGATGTTACAAGGAGGACAGTTGAGGTTGTTTACTTCACGTCCATCTCTAAATATTCATGGTAGGATTCTTTGGTTAATAAGGCTCCATGAAAGGATAGAGAAAAGAAGTACACCACGGCAGATATCTGATATTTGGGAGGTTCCGTTAATGGCACTGAGTGGATCATACATTCTTTTGGCACGTATTCATACAGCTCGGGATGAGGCCGTAATTCAGGTAGATACTCACCTCCATGGGAGACACCATATAGCAGGGGTATTTTAAAGCTTCCCAGTGCAGAGCAAGTAACTGAAATTCAATCCTGTGTACTTTATCTGCGTATCAACGTAGATGTTATACATATTATGCATAGGTCCTTATATACATTGAAACATACTCTATGTGTTTCAATATTGAAATTCATCCGAATCTTATTCACTGGTATCTCTTTTTCGCATTGTTCACCATCGCTATTGGAATCACTACACTGGAAAAAGTCTGCGTTGCTATCACACTCATTATTACTACTAGTACTTTTCCAATAACGCCATATTTTAAACAGATAACAAAAATTTTAAGTAACTATAAGTGCACAAATATCGAATTTCAACACTCAAAACGCGATCAGTTCCTGAACTGAACACGATGGCGATAACATAACCAAAGGCCACATTACCCGATTTCTATTCGTCACCGAATTCAAATTTAATTTGAACTCTTCGGGCAAATATAAAACTTGGTTAGTAAAAATTATCCAATACGAACCGTCAATTCTACAGTCCACGTGGACTAGTTTGCTACCGGTCAATTTCTATGTATTGGTTTTTTTTTGGCCTTTGAGAGTGCCGACAACTTTAGGAATGCACAATATCGTTTACTTCGACTATACCTAGATTGATTAACAACTTCATTCCATATTGTAGAATTATGATCGGGAGAACTTTAATGTGTATTCCAATAACAACTGACTCAATTATTATTCGATTGTTATCCCTTCGATGTCAGTCACAAAACTGAATGATTCAAGCCACTTGTGGAGTGCTTTTTCGATAGACAAAGCCGTACATGCGTCGTTAGCAAAAGTATTAACGAACTGATGCTAATAACAGTGATTTACTATTTCAGCTTCACAGTAATCAACATCTTTTCTATTTTCCGAAGCTTCGAAAAAAACTTGGTTTGGCAGATTATTTTGAGTTTAAGAGAGGATATTTGATGTGGAATATCTCTGGAAAACCAATTTTCTCTCATTCCACATTACAAGTAATCTGAGCATAAAAAGTATGATGTAAATATCAATCAAGGTCATAAAAAGCAATTCTTTGCCGAACGACACTGCTGAGGATATCTTCAATGACACTTCGAGATTCTGATGCACGCAAAACCATCTGAAGTCAATTCAAAACGAAAAAAATGAAATTGCCTGCTGACAAAGAAAAAGCCACTGTTGTGATGAATACCAGGCTTTTTCGGGCGTGTGTTTACGTTCCATTATCTAAAAATAGTGTGAACATGTTCCAAGTCTATAAAAGAACAAATGAAACTAAATTGATTTGAATGTTTGAATTGAAAATAGTCAAAATATTCAAATTCTGCTGAACTTCCGATTCTCATCTAAGATTCGATGAAAATTATTCAACATGCTCTTTCTATACAAATTGGAAAAACGCTGAAAGTCGTGTATACTCAAGAGATTCTTTTTTTATTTGTTATTTGTAGCCCCAAGACGTTGAAGAATCAATTACAGGCGTATTGGAAGCTATTAAAGATGATGAAAATGTCGGAGCAGTAATTTTCAATTATGACGTGAATCTTACCCTCATAAAAATACAGAAAATGTTGACCTTTTTGAAGAGGAAAGATTGTCTGTTCATCGTTGCTGCTAGTGATAGACTAGTACATATAGGACCTTTAGGACCAATGATCGGTAAGTTAGAATGAAAATCATTTAGTTTGATCATAGAGTGTTAACTTTTCCGACAGAAATCAACTGTGACAAGGCTATTTTTTGGGTTTGTTGGCCGTAATTAGCTGCTTTTTATGCCTGACGTTTCGTCTGCAATCGCAGTAAACACTATCAATGGCGATGAGACATAGCAGATACTATAATATTTATTAGGTGGTGGACGTCGTTTCGCTTCCATCCATTGAATCTAGTGACCTGATCACAATTGACTGCTAAAATTGAGTGCAAGTGCCAGATTTAACCGATGGTAATTCCTTGTTTCTTTCGATTAAAATTGTCTCAGCAGTTCTGAATTTCTATTGTCTCCCTATATAGTCTTGGAAGGTAACCAAGTGAGTTGAATGAGCTGGGTACTTACACTTTTCTCTGGGGTTCCAATGTAGAGTGATCCACAGCTTCCAGGGATCCGGTTTTCAATGCCATCTGGAGTCCTCTGAAGGTTTTTCTTCTCCTCAATATCGATTTCACGTTGTGTTTCTCTACAACTCATTCGATCCGGTTCATAACATTCTTTGAAAAATGCATTGCGAATGTCGAATCAAGGATCCATTCTTTACCGAACGGCATTGCTGAGCAGGATATCTGCAATGACAATTGCCTGCTGACAAAGAAAAAGTTACTGTTGTCATGAATACCAGGGATTACAAGGTAGGAATCTCCAGGTATAGAAAACTCAATCTAGATGCGACCATCGGTATTTCGAGAAAAACTGATCATCTTACATATATGGCCGGACAAAAATCGAAAAGAGAGATTACCCACTCGGGGAATGTTACAAATTCGGACTTCCATTATCTATATATGATGGAATTGGCCGATACTTGATGAAAATTCATAACTAATATATTCAAAAAGCACTTTATTGTTACATTTTCACTAAACAATTTTACAAAAACGCAACACGTGTTTCGCCATACAATGGCTTCTTCGGGCGTGTCTTTACGTTCCATCATCTAAAAATGGTGAAAACGTGTTCGAAATCTTGGTGTGAATAAAATGGACTGTATGGAAAATCAGTTCTGTTAACGATTTTGTCACTCAGCTGTTTTCAGACAGAGGAATTCTCCAAAATCTTCTGGTTTTACACTCCAAGGAAATGATAAATTTAGCTTGGGAAGGGAAATAGGAGTGTAAATACACACAGCACTGATTCTATGATAATCTAACAATTATTATAGTTAAATAACGTGAGAAATTGTTCACTATTAGTCCACTCTATCCTGGTCACGAACAAAACTTAACGACCTCATCGCAGCCTCTCACGGAAAACAAACTGAAGACTCGAAAAATAAGAAATTTGAGATTAGCTCTAGGAGATACTTTAATGAGTTTCATCGATATGATTTCCGTCTGTATAATGATTGCGGTTAAAGACACTGTTACGTTTTCCCCAATAATTTACTATACTGATGAATAAATGAACTTAACTTTATTTCAGTCTGAATACAACAAACACTTCAACTAATAATTCAACTGTGTTACTATCTTCATTCGGGTTTGAAAGCCTTCGTAGTTTGCCTTCGTAGTTTGTAACTGCATTCTAACTTTCACCAGCACGAGTGGCTGGCTTCTTCAGAGGTTTATTCACCTTCATAATTCACCGATGAATCCTGAAAATCTTGGCCGCGAAAGCCTTAACCAATTTATAAAACTTCATCTATAATTTGAATGTCTATCACCTCACTTGATCGTATCGCACTGTAAATTCCACTTGACTGTCTCGAAGGGTGAGTAGATGGCGTTTATATTTGGCAACCGAAGGCGCTGGAAAATTCCTTGCAGATCCATCGAAACCGGTAGCCTTATTCTCGCCACATCTAGTACGACAGCGAACATCGAACATTCGCGCGCTCCTAGCTACGTCACAATTGGTTAATGGGTACCAGTGGCGGCCGGCGTTATTTTCTTAAGGGCATGATTTATAACAACACTATTCAGCTGATCAACGACGTAATCCCAGCAGACGCAACCGCTATGTTCGCTCATTGTTTATCATCGACGTATTTCCAGCGGGACAGGGTTTGCTATACACAAAAGTATTGCATAGCAATAGGCAGCCCGTTAAATTATGTGATAACAAACTTTTTTTGTAAAAATCGAACAATGTGTCTTAAAATCGGTCTACATTGAAACCCCGAAGTGTAATGTAATAACCCGGCTTTCGAAACAGAACAGAAATGGTCGCCTGAGCATGACGACGAATCAGGTAGGTACCTTAGAAAAGGTACCCACGTTAACTGATTCGAAATCGATAGAAATCAGAGTAACTATTATAGGAAGACGACTGAAATTCAGACACAGAAACAATGGACAATAATGGAAGCTGGCTACCTGCTGTTAATTGCTGCTGTTATCAGGTTATTTGATTCAACCAATAGAAACAAAGCCTTACCCATGACCAATGGAATGAAACCGATGACTCAAAACTATACTGTTGTATCTGCTTTGAGGACAATTCCAACAATTCGTCATTACCTTTGATAATGTCTGCCGCAGTCGTAGATGAAACATCAGGCGTAAAATGATACAGTCCTTCGAATTTCCCAACAACTGAGAAAAGTACGGGTGCGATTGGTTGAATTAATTGATGATTACACGGAACAAAATTATCGAAATGAAATATTCATCTAGCATGAATTCATGCTGTTTATTCAATATCAAATAATTTAGTTGATTGTGTGACATAAAATAGTTCTTTCGCAAAGAGTCGTTTATAACAACTACCTGTATAATTGGGATAACATATATTTGCCTACAATATTTCTAATTTGCCACTTCTATCTGAAATATTTGCTATTATCAGTAAATATCCAGTTTATTGAAGACAAATGATGATTTAGTGAGTGCGATATGAATTATAAACGAGAAAAATTCATGGATAAAGCAGACGGAGTCTGTTAGAGTCTCGGGTTAGAGACATCAGTGAAGTCGGCACAGGTGATGGATAAGTTAGTATATCTGATATAAATAACAGGGAAAATTCATGGACATTTCACTCCGAAGATGCGCAAACCTCAGACACGTGTTGATACCTGTTTCTGGCTCATGATTATGANTTTGCACTCCGGAGATGCGCAAACCTCAGACACGTATTGATACCTGTTTCTGGCTCATGATTATGACAACTAATGTTCCAGAAACACGTTCTTGTCTATACATGAGTTTTCTGTGTTGTTTTTGATTCATGTCAGATATACTCACAAAAGAATCATGAACTGGACTTCACCTAGCTGAAGCTGACTCCCTGGTTACTCTAGTGATGTCCCTAACCCGTGGCGATCTGACCGAAACCACCAAGTGCAGCTGACTTCTGTTGATGACTTCATGGCAGCTATATCCTAGAGTTTTTTCAATCAATCAAACACACCTGTTGATCTTTTGGAGAATGTATATTCAGGACCCGAAAGTCAGGCAGCTAGCTATAGCTGCCCACATGATCATGTTAGAATGCTAGGTGATTCCTAGGACTGCTAGATATTTTAACTGAAACCTCAAATGTGCAGTTGGTTTCTGTTGGTGACTACATGCATATTCGATATTTCTCATTTCTGTTAACCAGGTATTGCCATCTTTACCCTAGAATTTTCACTACGAGAAATATATTTCTGGCGAGTGTTGAGAAAAAGTTTCTATTTCAGGTAATCAATACTTTTTGAATGCCATTGTAGATATTAGCGGAAGAAAACCTATCAACGTAGCAAAACCATCTTCACATTATGTTGAATTTGTTAAGGAAAAATTTGAAATTACTGACCCGAATAAAGTTTTGTTGATAGGAGATTCGTAAGTATTGTTGTCTATCATTCAATTATAATATGTTTTGAAAAAATATGCCAGTGGATGAAGATGAAGAGCGATAGGAAAAGAAGTGCTATATTCCACTATTGATTGAGCGGTCATTTGCAAAGCCAAGTTTCGATATCGACTGATGACAAGATTTGTCCTCTGTCTTTCACTGCAAGGCAAATAGTTAAGACTAATCAGGCCTAGCCCCAATGATCAAACCTAAAGGGAGTCAAAACAGCGCTATCTGGTTTTTGTTATAAATTCGTTGTATTTGAGCTCGGGTTTTTAACTAGTTGCTTTGCATTGAAAACTTCAGTGAAAGACACAAAACAATTCTCGTCAGTGGTCGATGTTAAAGCTTGGCTTTGCAACTGACCGTCTTGGTTTCGTGCCATCTTCGTTTTCATCAGGTTGGAGCCCAGCTCCCTTACCCTTGTAGCTGAGTTTTTGTCAGAGAGACAAATGGGTTTCAAACCGCCTTGGAGATCCTCGTATATCTTTTATATTCGAGGATTTGGTTCTCTGTCGATCCCATAGGTGGCGTCTTCGTAAGGAAAGATGTCNAACTCCCTTACCCTTGTAGCTGAGTTTTTGTCAGAGAGACAAATGGGTTTCAAACCGCCTTGGAGATCCTCGTATATCTTTTATATTCGAGGATTTGGTTCTCTGTCGATCCCATAGGTGGCGTCTTCGTAAGGAAAGATGTCATCTACCTCACTTGTTCAGGCATGTTCTTTACAGTTTAGTCCTGCAACGCATTTCTGATTCAGCCTAGCACCACGACAGTAGAACGCTTGTGGCACCACTGACGAGACATATGGCAGGTCGAATCAGCGATGATTGATGTTGAATCATGAATATGTTATGTTTGGGCTCTGGTTTGAAACTAAAACTGACTACTCTAAACACTGTCCTCCTATACCTGATTCAATACTTCGTTCGTAAAATCTTGATCATTCTCGATTGTGTTCCAAGAATATCTCTTTTCGATGGCTTTATATGGGCCTACGTTGATGCTCGCGTGAATCCCAGTAAAGCATCTCCAGTGACGTCAACCACGCTGTGTCGGTTTTGTCAGTGGCGGGTAGTTTGCTCAGTTGTCACTTTGTGACGTGATGATATTGTTTATACTCATTCATTTCCAGTCCTCTCTCCATTTGATGAAACTGGATCATTTATAGCAAAGTAATCGTTATTCACTATTGGATTATTTTTATCTGACCCATTCAATTTCTCAGTACAGAAATTTCAGTTACAAAAGTCATCGATGTTATTCCATGTATTTTGACCTTGTAATATATTGATTATTAATCGACATGATCGACCGCTGACTTATACAAAGTTGACTGTCAATCCCTGGCAATATTTTGTGACCTAAGACATTTGATCTGGTAGATCATTGTATTCTCTTGACTAAACTTGATTTTTATGTCATACAAGGTTTCTCATTGAAATGATTTGAAAATCATATGGAGCAAAGAAGAATCCAAGTGGAAATTTGAAGTAATTACAATAATCGTATAGTGACAATGCACTCATACATAGCAGACCTTACATTCATTTCACATTTATGTCGATTATATGTAATGTATCATCTTTTTTTGTCGATGATCCTAGATTAATTCTCAGTAACTTGAAAATAAGATCACTACTTGATTTATAACAAAGAATTATGAATGGTATAATAACCCGGTTCACTGCAAATAAACATTTTCTGAAAGTGTTTAAAATGCAGAGCAAATTTTTCAGCCCTTATAAAACAAACAAAAATATTGAAATAATTGTAAATGCCGTGTCAATGAATACGTCAATCAATTCAAATTTATTGGAAGTCACCAATGACTTTAAAAGTCCCACCTAGTTAGTGCAGATTTATCTTGGCCATCAAAATTATCGTATTGAATACAAACAAGAACGTGGCAAAGACCTTATATTACGCCTGAATCCACAAACTTTTATCAAGTTTTGGGGTCATTTTGTTGATTCCCATTATTTGTATCATAAGTAAACGAGCAATATGAACAGTGTTTGTAGGCAGTGTAGTGGTATGATTTCGCAACCATAAAACATTCTCTTCTTATACATGAATTATCACAGAAATGAAAATAAATAGCACTGACAATTAAATTGAAGTTTCCAATAGCTTACAGGAGTTTTTTGTATCAAATATTGTTCGACACTACTATGATAATATAAGTTTCAAAGAACCACTGATTTTTCATTAGCATTATACCATATATACATGTTGAGATATATGAGGTAGTTAAGTATATACAGGGTGTTTATTGAACATGCAGCAAAAATTAAGGTAATTTTAAAACTATTAACGTAACCAAAATGAAAGTATAGCGTACTACACTGGACCTAGCAAGTGATAAAAGATCTAACAATGCCGTTGGTACCTATCAACAACATTTCGATCACTAAAAATGGCAGCAGACATTCAATTTGCTGGGCGTAACGCGATGATGGCAGTTTCTCAAGAAATGCCATAAGAAATTTCCACAATAACAAATTGTTATTGTCGAAATTATTTTTCGCACCGTATCTTCGAAACGAAGCGCCCTATCAAAAATCATCGAAGGACAAAATATCCTTAGAATAGTCCAAAAAATATTCCCTTGAATTTTGCCGTATGTTTAATAAACACCCTGTATAATGTTTATGAAAGGGTTTTGGCTTTCTACGCTTCCATTTCGATACAAAAACATGTGGGGATCTTCCAAATGTATTCTCTTGCATTGGCGTACGGAAATTATTCTATAATTTATGTATATGAAATTTAAATAGGGAATGATAAAATATATAGGATCACAATGTTTTCCTTTTAATGCAATAATATTTCTGAGAATTTAGTGCCTATCATTATGGAATTTTTGTATAGTCCTATGCAAAAAGTGATGAAAGATGTCAACAATGTTTATTTACTGAAATTCAAAGACGTAGTTACACCTATTTAAATTGAATATCTAGTTTCGAATAGGGTATATTTCATGACATTATTGATATGTATTCATTTCAGTATCATAGAAGATATGAGCACTGCGGTCCTAGGGGGATTTCAGAAACTTTTAGTGTTAACAGGTTCCACCAAACTGGAAGATATTAGAAACTGGAAGCATCCCATAGAATTCCAACCAGAGTATTACGTTGAAAGCCTCAATGTTTTCAATGCTATTTTAAAATCAATCGAGAAGGACGTTGAATGTGTATGAAAATAGAATTTTCTAGTTTATTTCGAATTTATTGCAAGCATTTGTGTATATATTATGAATGATTACTTTGAGAAACATTTACAATAAATTATTGTGAATTGTGCAAACTGCCCCGCCAAAATTAATATCAGTAATTTTCCCCGAACAATTTCTTCAATTTTCTAAGACAATTTTATGAATGTGTTGTTCGAAAATATATTTCAAATAGGTAATCGCTTTACAAAAATATTTTCATGGGCGACAGTGCATTCAATAACACATGATTTGTTTTGATCAATATGATATTGACTGTGTCATTCTGAGAACTGTAAGTTACATGCTTATTATGCATTTCAGTATCAGTATCTGATGTTTTCAGTGAAAAATGTAATATATTTTGTGGTTTTTCAAAAAAAGATTTTCAGTTGCTAATAATGCCACTTTCAATATGATTTATTCGAAAAATGTGTGAAACAGGCGTGTTCACTTGTATTGTGTATACCATTCATTTTTAAGTTTATTTATATCGCAAACTGTATCAAATATTCAGTAGGATAAAAATGTTTTCCAATATCTTTCCTTTGGTTATTTCTTTTGCAAATCATTACTAATCCTTTTGCAACATCCAAAATACCTTTTGTTGTTTTTATTTTATTTTTATCGTTGTTTCAATAAAATGTTCAAAGTTAATTTAAACAACGTAATAAATATACCTTTGAATACTTTTCAAGATAAAAATCATGAATCTTAACAAAACAGACTTCCTTTCCAATAGGCGTATTGGAAATACGGCATTACTACATACATACTAGCTATCAGATGACATAATTTGAAGTGAATGTGACGATGATTTCAAGGAGAGATACATCCATATGTACGTATTATAATACTAAACGTTTCGAAATAAAATTTACACCTGCCAACGTTTCAGCGAGATAACTGTTTCCTGGGCTAATACCACGTTTGACATTGAATTATATACAACAGACATTCTGACAAGTTTTTCCAGAATATTACTGGAGTTCTTTCCCAACACCAAATCGTTATTTTTAACACTTCGACACGTGTTTCAATCACCAAGTGATCATCTTCAAGAGACAGATTAAACTGAAGTTTATCCAGACATAAGCTACGATGATATATCATTTGAATCTCGGATACACTTCTGTTTCAGTTGAATTTGTCCTGCACTGACGAGGGGTGACACTCTGAAATCGGTTTGTAGGTGGTGATCACTTGACTGATTCCAGGAAAGTTCTACTGCTGGACGAACGGAAAGCTTCTGTAAAACTTTTTTCTGTGAGGAAATATCCACAGATATGATTCAATGCCTTTGTGGAAATTGAATCCTAGGAAAGTAGTTGTTTCTGGCAGGTATTTGTCGATTTTCACTGTGTAAGGACGTTCATTATGTCGATGTCACGTATTAATCGTTTATTTTTTATTCAAAACTGTCGTGGATATTCAGAACTGCGAAATATTGTTGGATACGTATTTGTAAAAATTGTTGGCACTATTTTTTTTGTTGGGCAACATTATCGAATAAGACACGTTACTGATAATTGCACATTTTACTTTCGGGAAAAATATATTGTACTTACGTAGTAACTTAAGAAGCAAGAAACTTTCCCTTTCTACAAGTAAAAAAGTACTTCGTTGCAATTTTTCTTCATTTAAAATAATTGGCATCACCCGATCATTTCTCAATAAAATTTTCAAACTGTAAGTATTCAATCAGACTATCAGAAACGTATACAGAGCCTGAAAACTATCGAAGAATACATTGCGTTTCCTGAAAAGAGATGTTAATGACATCAATACTAACCGTAAGTTTTATATTTCAACTCGAAAATTACCATTTTGTAAAGTTGGAAGTACAACGAATAACTCTTTTCCGAAAATCTGTGTTGAAAAGCTCGAACATGATTTGGTGAAATATAACATTCATTGATAAATATGCGAAATATTATAACCATTGTATTCCATTTTGTAAGCATTAAAATAATCTTGCAATAATAACTGACAAATGTGACTGCCGTAGGTGGACAGAATTAAACATGAAATTGCTCCAACAATAAATGGACAATAATTCAGTGCTTCCTTCTTCTAGGCCCTTCTTACATTCAAGCGCCGTATTAGATTCCACACAGATGAAACATATAACACTTTCGATACCCGAGAAANACGTTTTCTTTTTTTCAATAGCGGGCATCCATCATATTTCTCAAATCTCAATAAAGATAGATTTCAATACAATCATGTCAGATTTGTTTGAAGGTGACTGACAATGGTTCGTGATGAATTTCATTAGTTCGGACTTCCATTGTCTAATATTATTTGAAATCCCTGAAAGAACCAATACAAATGAAGCATTGAAAACAATAGCTGAAAATAACGATATCCTATATTATTTCACGTATCTCCTCTTTCCGCTTCACTGGTTTAGCGGGAGATGACCGTTTGGCGGAAGTTGGCCATTTTTTGCTTGATTATGGATTTCCATATGAGGCGTATTTCTACGCTAGCTTGGCTGAATACATTGTTAGACAATACGGCTTCTTTGAATTTCCTTCTGAACCAGTGTTCATCCCTGTGTATGATCTCAGCTTGGACCACTCGATGTTATGTTGATGGGTCCAAACATGCTCTGCTATTGCTGATTTGCTGGTTTTCCCTCGATATGTGTGTTTCTTGTGCTCGGCAATGCGAACTTTCAATGGCCTCTTAGTTTCACTGATATAGGATTTTCCTCACTCACAGGGTATCCGGTAAATGCAATTCTTGGAATCGCAGTGCACGTTTGGTAGCTTGGTTTTCATGACGCTGCTACGGATAATGTTTCCGGATCTGAAGCAGATTCCGATGTTATACTTGGACCCAATTCTTCTTATACATCATAAATACTCAAATGACCCATAAATAGTCATTTCTTGGAGGAATCAGTCCAGTCATCACCCGAAGACGATTGTGAATACCAACAATCGAAATGTCGTGAAGTAATTTGGCTTGAAATCTCAAAATTTTTATTTTTTGTTTGATTGTTCTATTTTTTACTTGTATTATATTTCTCTGTAATTTCATCTCTATTTTTGCTTAATATATTTGTTATTTTCAGCTATTAATTACATTATTTCATTTGTATTGATTCTTTCGAAGATTTCAAATCATTTTATATAATGTTAGACAATAGAAGTCTGAACTAATGAAATACAATCATGTCAGGCTCAACGATTACTGAAAAATGTTCAACAAAATGATATTGTTAGAAAAGAGTCAGATTTTTCGTCCATAGATGATGAAAGATGAAGATAATTTGGAAAAAGATGATCAGTATTGTCTTGATGAGAGTAAAATAATGTAGTCTTCGAAAAGTATTCATATTGTTACTTTTTCCCCGTGGGTTTGACAATAATTGGCTACACTGTACAATAATCAAACTCAACTTCATTTCACTGTTGATACAACCAAACGCTTCTCGATCGGGGTGAGGGTAGAGTTTATATATTGTAGTCAAATTCTCTCGTAGCCAATAGGGAATTTGTTAGAAGTCTATCGAAGCGACATCTAACTAGAACAATCGCGAAGCGCATGTCAAGTTGAGCGAGATCTTGGTCACGTCACAATTGATTTATGACGACCAGTAGCGGCAAACGTTATTTTTTTAGGAGATGATTTACAACAATATGAAGTATACTCAAATTCATCAGGAAATTAATAAGCATAATAATTCTGTTTCTGTCACTATTCAATTCGTCAGATCTCTGGAAAATACTGCATGCAACTTTATGGATTCGTATAGTTTCTTTAATATTTTCTCAGTCCTGCAGATCATGATAAACAAATAGTTTAGAGGCCTTTTGACGTAATAAATAATGAATGTAGATAAAAAAGGATGCGTATGCAAATGTTAAAAAACTGTGAGGATATTTTTCAGTTTCTCTGAAAACACCTCAGACTATTGAATCCCTTCAGAAAATATGGTAGTTTGTAACATAGAAAATAACCACCTATGTGTGAAGAATTTTTATAAACAGTTTGCTTGCATTCAGACGAATTTTATCAGCACTTCTTGTGCAATAGGTGTGCAGTGAACGATGATAACTTTCCAAAAATGAAAAATAACACTTCTTAGACATAAATCGATGGGACTCTTAGCTGTTGGTTTGGAATATTTCACGTCAGCTATCTCCATAATTCAAACCGAAGATTCGCCTGATTATCTCTTCAGATGTGTAGAACTATAAATATACAGCCCCTTTGCTGTTGAAATAATTTTTTGGCATTTTCTTCAGACACTTTATTAGGATTTTTTCCGTCTCTACAAATTCTATTACTAATCTGGTTACATGTCAATGTTCTTGGTACCTTCATAACCAGTTCAAAGCTTCTAAATTGATCTGATGGACTGTATCTAGAACACTCGTCATTTTCACCACTTTCTTTGATTCTTGAGTTCCTGAGAATCGAATAAATCTTCTGCTGTTTGCAAGTTCCTTCAACTCTTCACGTCCTGCACAGACTCGTTGGTGATAGCCTTCCTCTCATTTCATGCACCAAACGGATGATTGTAATGTGAATACTTGCTTTCACTTGGTATTTCACCTCCCTTTCCATGTTTGGTTCGCAGCCCGTGTGTTCAATAATTATTCCTGGTTAAATTTTTCTGTTCAAATTGACTTATGTTGGCGGTTTCATGAAAGTTTCGTAGTAATAGTAACAGAAAGTGTATTCTTTCAAATTGAGATGAAAGTACTCACTTGTTTTTGAAAGTATATACTGGTTTTATGAACTGACAAAAAACTGTTACCGTTGTCATAGTAGCCCTGTTCGCATTAGGGCCAAACCTGTAGCTTTTAGATATGTATCCCAAAGACAAAATTTGAGGAAGAGTAAGCAAATTTGGGTGAATTTACGTCTCATTCAATTCAATACATATTCCACTTTTTAGTCAACAGCTAATGAAGGGGACGTCAATTCTGCTACTTACTACAAATCTGAAGAATTGAAAAAGCATAAAAACAACCTCTCATATTACAAATTCATCACCATCCAATGTCCCGTGGGTAGGGCTATCTATCGGGCCCGTCTCCAGGTGGCAGATCGGAAAACGGCCAGGAGAAGGGGGCCCTGTCCGGGAAGCCAACGTGGCCTTACGGACGGGATCACCGGACTCCTGGTTAGTGGCAGAAATAAGTTGGGTGAGGGGAACTAAAACTCCCCAAAAGTCACTGCGAAACATGCCACCGTGAACCAGCCTACCCAAGCTGAGGTGTAAGGAATCGTGCCGACAGCTGAAAGGCCGCAGGGTGATATGCTATTACGAATGATCCCCTTGAGAAACCGGGCGAAACCTAATTGTGATCTGTCATCCTCTGGTATTCGGTGCTCTGCCAGAAGTGACCAACTCTTCCGTTACTTCTCATGGGAACACACATGAAAACAATCTGCACTGATAGCAGACAAGCCCTATTAGCCAACGTGTTACCTGAGGGCTAGTACTAGAGTGCCACCAAGATTTAGCCAAAGCCTCGGTAGATAATAACATTATCCTGAGGTGGGTTGAAGAGCACGAT